GGCCTGTAATTTTCATCATAGGTATACCTCAACTATGAGAGACAAAATGAGGAAAAAAAATCCAGAAAATCACATTGTGTTTTGAACAGTTTCCCCAAATCACACCCCATATATGTCATTGGTCAAGCCAACAGATAGTCCCACTCCAAACACACACCATTTGATGAGCCAATTTTGCTCTGGGCTGCTCAAAATAAGAGCAACATTTTATTTATTTTTTTGTTCAGTATGGTTTTATTACTGTATGCTTTTGTTCATGTTATCAGCAAAAAAATAAAAAAAGTTTTTGATGCAATTATGCAATTACAAAGAATGGGGACAGATGCTTTAAAGCTTCAAACCGTATGAAAACTACTCCATGCAAATATTTTTAAAAGTAGTCCATGCAACTCATATGACCACATTATTTAATCCGCAAGATGCGGAAATGAATCAGAAATTCATTACATTCATCAAGAAATCATACAGACTAATGAATGGAATCAACTGATTCATCGAAAAGATCCAACTCATATGAACAATTCATTCACAAAATGAACTCATGAACTTATCAGTCACTCATGAATGTGCCAAGCTCAATACTGAGATTTTCAGAGCATAAACAAGTAAATTTTGGTCTGTTCCTCACAAAAAAAATAAATGAAAATAATAATAATAACAAAAAAAATTAAATAAATCTATTGCTTCAGAAGACTTAGAACATGCATGAGTCATACTGGTCATACATTCATGATGGTTTTTGCCATTTTGGAGCTTAAAAACCCCATTCTTTATCCACATTCGTTACATTTAAAAAAGTGTTTTATGAAAGAAACAAGATTTGGATTGACATGTATGAGTGTAAATAATGTCAGAATTTCCTTTTGGGTGAACTATCTCTTTAAGAAGGTTAGAAAATAAAGTCAGAATGCATTATAGCAAAGTCTATTTCTCATCAACAGAAAAGCACGGAAAGACCTTATTGGCCATGTAAAAAGAAGATCAGTGTGCGATTTGTCCTTGTCTCTTCTTCTTCTCCTTCCCTCTCTGAAGTATTGTTCAACGTTTTTCAGGTTGAGGGTCGGACCGAATCAATGTCCATGCATCAATATATCACAGCCCTAAAAAACTATTTACCTAGAGCAAGATCTCGGCCATTGATTTGTTTCTGTGCTACGGAGAGCTGCGGTGTGCATAGGTGAATAGCATTTACAGGAGAACGTACGATCTTCCTCAAAAAATAATGGTCAGGGGGGAAAAAATGAAAATGTAATATGCTACTCCTACATGTTCACTCTAGTTTCACCAGGTCTTTCAACTGGAAAACTAAATTTCATACCCTGGGGGCTTTTATGTTAATGTATCATGTATATCAAAAAGCAAGAGCGAGCGCACACGTGAACTGTCACTGATATTCTGCCTATGCTTCATTGTATTAAATGCTCTGCTGGTTTTAACGCACACAGCGCACCGCTACTCTCACAAAGCTCACCGGTTTATTATCATCACTTGTGGAATTCTAAACAGCTGCCTGAAAGTTCTATTCATCTCCACATATTTCCAATTCCATGCTGCCTCCATCACTCCAGCCACCTTTTCGGTGACAGCGTTTGTCCCACCGGCCCCTCAATCGCGCAATCCCGCTGCTAAAGGATGACGAGTGGAGTGCTGAGTTGCAGGTAAAGGATGATGTGTGAAGCCCTGCTGCTGACGGCAGCGTCTCTGTGACAGCACATCAATGAAGGCCTTGATGGACGTCGGGCTGGAAGCGGGCCCTGATTAAAGAGCCCCACGCCCCAGCAGCACGCATCTGCCGCCTGTCCCCAGTCCACTGTCACTGCGGCTGGATACAATAAAATAGCGCTCAGGGTCATCGGGGTTTTCGGTGATGTGACAACAAGCACATTTCACAAGTGCCAATCAAACATGTCTCTCACACAGGCCCCGCCCTCACCCCTCTTCGTCCTATCTTCCTCCCTCATCTGCTGGCCCTCTTCCCAGCTACTCACCCAGAGATCAGAGGGAAATTCATCAGTGAGCAGCAATGATTTTGAGGTTCAGCAGAGATTTAGTAATAGGCAAGGGCGTGTTGCCTAATCACACTACTATGGGCCTATATCAATTACCTATTAGCGGAATATAAGAACACTAACTTAATGCAAACTGCACAGTATGAAAAAATTGGCTTTGAAACTATTTTCACTCAGAAATTGCTAGCAAATTTGACAAATAATTACAAAGAAACAGCAAGTAACACTGAATTAAACGTGAAAACAATGTCTATATATATATATATACACACATTTTAATTAATTATTTTTTCAAAGTGTAGACTATAGACCAGGGGTGCCCAACCCTGCTCCTGGCGATCGACTGTCCTGCAAAGTTTAGCTCCAACCCTAATCAAACACACCTGAAGCAACTAATTAGGGTCTTCAGGATCACTTAAAAAATTAAAGGCAGGTGTCTTTGATTAGAGTTGGAGCTAAACTTTGCAGGACAGTCAATCGCCAGGAGCAGGGTTGGGTACCCCTGCTATAGACTGTTTATTATTTTTTAAATAGGTCTATGTAAAATAATATGCATTACAGAACAGAAACCCATTCAAATGGCACCGTCTGCAAAGTTTAGCTCCAACCCTAATCAAACACACCTGAAGCAACTAATTAGGGTCTTCAGGATCACTTAAAAAATTAAAGGCAGGTGTCTTTGATTAGAGTTGGAGCTAAACTTTGCAGGACAGTCAATCGCCAGGAGCAGGGTTGGGTACCCCTGCTATAGACTGTTTATTATTTTTTAAATAGGTCTATGTAAAATAATATGCATTACAGAACAGAAACCCATTCAAATGGCACCGTTTCATTGTTGCCACATGGCCTTATGTTTAATTGAGTCAATGGCATCTTGTTATCATTTTGGTTTGAAGTTGGTTTGATTTTGCAATTTTAATCCACTTCTGGGTAAATATATTTGAACTCTTTACAGTGCGATCAAATAATGAGTCAAAGTCATGATAAAACAATGTTGTTATTGTTAATCACAAATTTGCAACTAAAATGAAGTAGAAATAAACGAAAATATAAATGTTATAAAAAGGAAAATTAGAAATGTTGCCTTGGCAAATAACTGAAAGTTGAAGTAAAATTACTGAAACTAAAAATAATGCTATATATATATATATATATTTTATATATATATATATATATATATATATATATAAAGGGCAAAAAAGGACAAAAGAACAAAATTACTTTTAAAACAAAAATAAAAGAAAAATAATACAACAATTAACAGCTTATTCAAAATATAATAAATATTATACTACTAAACTAATACTAAAGTACTTAAAAAGGTTAAAAAGCATGACTGATGTGTCTGGTTTCTTTGCCACACTAGAATGGAAGGTCAGTCTCATACATACAACTGGGGTAGGACTTGTGAGTTTGAATAAACCACGTCTCAGTCCCATTTCCCTTTCTCTTTCCATAAAAATGAACACACTTTAAAAAACACCGAGAGTTTTCTGTACTTTTCCTTCTAGAGGGTGAAAAATCCAATGCAATGAAACAGAGGGAATTGGAGCAAGTGTCTCCGCAGTGAACAAACGTCCTGCGTGTGCCGGCCCTGACGCCCAGCTCAATCCATCATTACTACACTAAATCATCTCTCTGTCAATAACACCACTGCAAAATATTACAGTCATGTGGATACTTATTTTAATGACATTCAGCAGTCCCCTTGGGCTGATGGAGTGAGCGAGAAATACAGAGAGAGAAAGAATGCATAGGTAGGCAAGACCATTTGGCAGAAAAGTGCTTAGCAGCTTGAAAAGAGTTGAGATTGAGCGAGCAGTGGAAGTGTTAAATACTTAAGGAAGACTGTTATCTCCATGACAGATAATTGCTAGTTTATTCAGTCAAAAAAGTTTTAAGGATCTATGAAAGATCTTTGAGATTCTGGGAAAACCTGGAAAAAGTTTCCAGCAAGCTGGTGATTCCAACTCCATCATCTGGGTGTAATTGCTCATTTAATATTAGAATAGGTTTTTGACATTCTCATTTGTTACAAGAGCTCAATGCAACCTGAACTTCTAAATGTGTGTGCGGTCTGATATGAATGTCACGCCTCCTCAATAACTCAGACAGGGCAGTGTGCTTATCTTTCTTTGACACTCAGATCAATCTTGCTTTTAATCCTGAACCCATTCGCAGTCTTTCTCACTTCAACTCCACACATCAAACACAAACATCACATCCCTCCTGTGAATGTGCATGTCTGTGTCCAATCAAGTCAAGGACACAGGATGGGGCTGGCTGATCTTCTAGAATTCACATTATACACCTCATATAGGTAGTAAGCAGTGCTGCGTGATGTTGAACTATAGTGTGAATAGACAGATATGCTGAGAATACGTATGAATATACAGTGAATTAACATTCTATGCCTTTTTGGTTTCAGATTATGTATTACATTGTTTTATATGTTATTTATATGAGGGGAATATATATATTAATATATATAATTAATACTTATATTCAGTAAGGATGCATTAAACTGATCAAAAGTGAGTAAAGACATTTGTTACAAAAGATTTCTATTTCAAAATGTTCTTTTAAACTTCATTCATATATATATATATATATATATATATATATATATATAAGTATATATAGGAATACCATAAAAAAAGTTCTCAAAATTAAGCATCAAAATTGTTTTCAACATTCATAATAATGTTTCAGCATATTAGAATTTATCAAGGACTGTGACGATATTGTTTTGTATTATTTATTTAATTGTATTTTGGATCACATAAATGCAGCCTTAGTGAATCTATCCATCCATCCATCCATCCATCCATCCATCTCTAGCCATAATATATAAATATAACCATTCAAATGTTTGAGGTCGGACAGATTTATTTATTTTTAAACTTAAAACATGTCCAGGTAATGGTATCAACTCAAGATTATTATTTTTTTTTTTTGTGAAAAAGAAAACAGCTCACACTGAGAGGGTTTGTTTGTAGAATAAAACTCTGAATTTATTCTGTTGATCTGTACATTGAACAAGAGTACTCAGACTGCAGCACACACGCACGCACGCACACACACACACACACACACACGACTGATGTTAACCGGCAAAACCAGCTGTGCACAGGTGAGGAGTGCAACTGGCTCACGTGGAAACATTTGATTTCGCTTTCCACTGTCTTTCTATCCTTGTTCTCTGTTTGAGTCCCCGTAGAGTCAGACTCAAGGTGCAGCGAGGCCAAGTTTAGCTGAAATTAATCCGGGTTCAGCCTAAAAACACAGTATGAATAAAAATTCTCCACAGAGTTCTTTTAGTCCAGGCTTGGGCTTGATCTGTGTGCAAGTAAAGCAGACCTAACGTATGGGGAACAGGGACTGATGTGAGAAGGAAGATCCCCCTGACGCCGCGGTAAAATCAATGCTAACCAGTATGTGACCATATCAAAAGAAAATACCCACAAACGCAGACCTGAAAGAGAGCATGTTCACAGTTATTTCATCCGGCATTCTCCATCAATGAATTTCCCAAAAAATATTAATACATACATATATATACACATATATATAGGTTTCTAGATATTTATTCAGCAGCAAGAATGAAGAGATGACAGACATGATAAAGACACAAAAACTTAAATGAAAATGCAAAATGTTCCGATTTAAATGCAATACGATCAATTTCCGAACTCACTGTCTGGTCTTGAGGTCAGTTCATGAAGCCCATGACATATTTGCTTCACATGACGCAGAACTATCAAAAACGTCTTTACAGGAAAGCGTTCGCAAACAAAATCACACCGTTTGCCTTCAGTTGTCATGTTACATGCTCTAAATGAATCAACTGTCTGTATTAATAAAAAATGTCACAGATACCCACGACTGACTGTATTTTTGTGGATGGACTAATTTACGTTCCGCTGAGTGGCAGTCGCTCAACGCACCCATATTTCTGAGACAGTTTTCGCTGGACTGAAACGCAAATTGGAGACTTCGTTCCCAAACAGTTCTTAACGACAACAAAAAAAGAGTTTCTTTGAGAGGGAACCACTTTGGTAAGTTAAGAAAACCCTCTACAGTTAACATACTGCAAAATATCATCACCACCAAAAGTAAGACTACCATGTTAGTTGCACTGTATTCTACAGTGGGATTGACTTTCACATTAACTGCTGAGGACCACATTGTGAGAGTCTACTGCCCAGTAATATTTAGGTAGATGGTTTGGATTATCAGGTTTCTTACTCCAGCATTAGGTTTGTATTGTACAATAAAGACAAGGTTATATGGCCACGGATAGATCCTGCGTGCACGGTTTTAATAGTCTGTTAATTTGGAACAGAGTATGTGAGGTAATTTGTTAGAGAGGTATGTCTTATTCGAAATATGAAAAACTAAATTTTTACGACATGCCGGATACAATTCCTAAGATTTTATCTGATGCTTTATTTTTATCCCCAAATTCCTGCTGCTAGGTTTTATTCATGCGAAGCGGAACGACCTCCAGAAAAGTAGAAAAATTAGCACCATCTGAGGTAAATAACACAGATTAGACAACCCATGCCTGCTGTAGCACCATAAATGGGATAAAAATGTAATTACTGCAAGGAAACACTATCTACTGCCACAGAAACATTAACACAGTTGTTAAAGAGAGTAAAATACAATATCCGAAATGAATCTATACCATACAGACTGATATATATATACACACACATATATATCTGAACGAGGTACGAGGGTGACGAGACTGCCTTAGGAACACAGACACTGAGCAGCAATGAGGTAGGACTGTGACTCTACATGCTTGTTTTCAGACTAAGAATAACCTGAACTTGTGTTGTATCAAAAATACATTTCTTTCACTAGTAGAGCTGAGAAGAGTTTGTTAAATAAGACTGACTCTGAGTAGGGTTCTTTATTGTAACGGTGACCATGAAAAAAGTGAAACAGCAACAGGAAGTTGCCGTTCTTGCTATAGCGGAATACTGGGCAGTTTTTGGAATTGCAGTGGCATGTGGGCAGGTCCTCAGCATTTGATTGACAACCTCAGAATGTAGGTTAGTGAAGCAGACCGAAGCAATACTAACTTTTTTTCTCCCCCAAGAACGTCCGCACACTACTTTTTTGGCATCATGAAGAAAAAAGGAAAGAAAAAAAAAAAAGGATTTTTCAATCTGAACAAAATAGCCATATCCATTATCTAAAGCTTAATTCTCTTTTGATACAGAACAGAAAACAACAAATCAGACAATGAAGATGTCGACAGCACAGCAACACCTTGTAAAATCAGTAAAAATATATTCTGGCTGTTTCTTTCCTGTTGGTTTAGCTTAGATAACTGTGGACAACCTTAGCAGGGGCTGTTTTTGTGCAGGTTCATACTTATAAGACTTATATCAAAAACTGTCTGTTGCAGAGATTCCACTTTGGCTTATTTTCAACAGAACGACACAAACCCCCAACACACATTCAGACTGGACGAAACTCATTTGACACAACAAAACATCTCTTGGACAATACGCAGAGAACAACTGAGATGATATGTTGATCCCTCATGCGCTTTGCACCAGACTTGCCGTTTTCCACAGGCAGAGACCAGCTCAAAGCTAAGCACCGCTATTACACAGCCACTGAAAGCATAGGCACCAGCCTCACCACAGTCTCCCAGAAGAGAAAAACACAGCCTCTGCGAGGCTACTGCTTCGCTTTAGTAGCCTTTTAGCCTATAAATACTGTACATGATTGTATTTAAAAGTCAGATTTTCCCTGATGGGATTCACTGGTTTGATCTCACAACTGTAGAAACTTTTAATTTTCCTCAGATCTCAACAGCCCCGTGCCCGAATTTAGTCTCGGAGCAGCTGCGAGGCAAAACAACAACAAAACTAAACAAAAGAGCAATACATAACGCTGTAGTCTTTTTCAAGGCAATGATTCCACTAGTAAATCTCCACATAAAAAGTATGACCACATGGACCGCTGATAAAGTTTTGCTATTATTCAACCTCTGCACACCTAAAACTGTCATTTTCCAGTATACCCACACAGTATGTACGCTCATTATGGAACATCAAATATTCAATAAGGGTGGCAATACATATCAAACAATACAGGAAATATCTACAGAAAAAAAAAAAGAAGAGACTTTCAGTGGAACAAAAGAACCTTATTACAATCTGTCCTCTCTCGTAATTGCCTTGCCATATTGGAGGTACGTCGCTGTAAGAAAGAAAAAAAGGAATCGCTTTCACATGCTCGAGAGAATGAGAAACAAATGGCTGCTAAACTGCTATTGAGTGGCAGAAAACTGATAGCTGATTCAGGTTTTGTGAATGTCTTTTCACAAGCATTGTTAAATGTTTGTTGACTTCTTTTTTTTAAATTGGCTTGGGTAAATCACAACAAAGAAGCCAACATTGATGGATTTTTATACTTTGTTTTTTCTCCTTAGGATTAAAGTGCTACGCTGTCAAAGATGGACAATGACTTCCTCGGAACGGAAAGGCGGGCGACGGCTGCCTCTCGACGGAAATGACTCCAAATGAAATGATAGTCCATAAATGACTGAAAAAAAATCCATGATAGTATCAATTTAAGATATGGGTTTCTGTCATTAGAGATGATGTATTCGTGAAGAGCCCTGCATTCTTTTAGAAATATGAGTACCCAGGATCTACGTTAATATCGAAACGTCACATATACACTGTAGAAGTAGAAATGATAATAAACTATATATGAACCAGCAAAGATAAAGACAGAATTACAACATTGTCTGACTCGGTTATGAACCAGAAGCTTAGTGAGATAAGGTGCAGCCTGGATGCAAACGATGAAATGTTCATAAACATGAGAATATATTCCAAATGTACACTAAAATTTTCTCCCCACTAATAAATGTACTTGATTTTTAAAAAAAAGAGAGAACATAAGAAGTAGGGAGGCTTTTGCGAGGCAGATCTGTGGTTAATTCACAGTAAGCGATATGGCATCACAGTCAAGAACCCAAATCTGCAAGAGGGTCTTTATTTCTAAACGGTTTGTGATGAAAATAAAGACGGCAAAGGACTAAAGTGTGGATGGCATGGCTCATTTTAAGTTGTCACGATATCTTATTTCCTCCCCTAATGAGTGCACCCTGTACAGGTGGGCTGAAGTTGAGACCCTGCTTTTGGTAAAACCAGAAGGATGAGGCTAATGTGGAACTCCCGAGCACTGCTGACAGTTTTACCCCACATCCACACATGGCGCCTGGCATCTCTCCACACTCACACCAAAGTGCAGTTAACGCAATATCAGCTCATATTACAATCACGGCTTGCTATAAAACGGAGAACACAGTTCCCAATGATTGCCAGCTGGAAAAAGGCCCTGCAGCCCAGCTCTGATTTCCACTTACCCTCCGTCCCAAGTGCAATTTACGGCTGGTAAAAGGTCTTAGGTGGTCTCCATCTCTGCAGACCCGATAATACAATAACTCCTGTCCCATGGCTAGTCCATCAAGTACACTGAAATCAAATTGGATGTGCTCTTGTTGTTTACAAGAATCTTATTTGATACTTTACGTCATTTTTACTGCATTGTTGTCAACTGGTGCTTTTGTACACAAGACATCTCCAATAATAAGAATTTATGTATATTTCAAAATGTGGTTGAATCAGACAAAATGTATTTTTAAAGTGTATCTGAATTACTGGAGGCATTTTCTTCAGGCCCCAAACTTTACCCAATGCATTCAAAATAAATAAAATTTTTGTTCGAAAAGAGTTCAATTTAATTTTTTTAAAGAAATAAACACTTTGTCAGCAAAAATATTTATATTTTAAATAGAAATATTAAGTTTCACAATTGTTTTCAATATTGTTAACAGTAGAAATTGTTTCTTGAGCAACCAAATCAGCATATTAGAATGATTTCTCAGGGATCATGTGACACTGAAGACTGGAGTAATGGCTGCTGAAAATTCAGCTCTGCCATCACAGGAATAAAAGACATTTTAAAATGTATTAAAATAGAAAACAGTCATTTTAAATTGTAATAATATTTCACAAATTGATCGTTTTTACTTTATTTTCTTTTAAAAACATAAAAAAGGAAAAAAATCTTACTGACTCCAAACTTTTGAACAGTAGTGTAAGTGACTTGAAAACACATCATCGTAATTACAATTTCTACACCACAGGGATTTCCCAACAGGATTTGAAGGCATAGCCTAAAGCAAACATAAGAAATCTAAATCTAACTTTTAAGAGCAATTTGATCACCTTTTTGTGGCTTGCCTCCAAAGAAACGCTGCTAATTCATCTTACAGGACAACTGTTTTAGCACTACTGACTACATGTGACCTTTCCACCCCTAACAACAATCAAGAACAGACCATCAGTAGTCATCTCAGGAAAGCAATTAACAGGAGCAATTAGGCCTAGATTGATTAATTAAATCAATCGTTCATTAAGACGACGCAGAGTGTGACCCTGTTTAAAAGTGCAACTCTTTATGTAAAGTACCTTTAGCAGATGGTCCCTGTGAAGTGACCTACCCCCCCCTTAAGACTCCGACACTAAGCCAGCATTTATGACACCTCACAAACATCCTCCTGAAACAAGAAGACTTTTTCAGAAGGGAAACCTCTTTAGTACATTAGGACATGTTCTGACACAGAACACAAGCTGATGTGCCAAACACATTTTTCTCTCACACGATTTAAAGGATCGTTCCTGTCTATCAGGCATAATATCCTACCCACCACGAGATTCCCCATTAAAGCTTACAAAAACCCACCCCATTCACTCACAGAATGCACACCAGCATGCTAAGGCAGTGCGGAGAGAGGTAAAACTGTCAAGACAGGCTGTAAAACAGGGTCTACGAGAGTAAAAGACAGAGAGGTCTTGGGAGGGCATCAGTGGAAATCTCAATTGGCAGCGCCGGTGATTACGTGCACCTTGTTCACCAGAAGTCCTTGAGGAGTAGAATGAGCTATGGTGACAACTTCATCGCCCCCTACAGACCGTCGTAGGGGAAGTTATCCATCTTCACCGTCTGCTGGATGAGAAGCTTGGACTCTCGTCGTTCCTCGTTCTTAATAGATTTGTTGATATCCATGATCTTTTCGCAGATGTATTTGTTCACTTTGGATAATCGCTGGGTGATCTCCGCGCTGTCAGCTGTTTCTTGAGACACACGATCATACAGACACTCTGGAACGAAATATTAGACTAGAAATTAGCAAAGAAAACAGAATTGTTTTCCTTGCCCATCTTGTTTTCCATCTAGTTTTTTTGTTTGCATTTTAAAAATATTTAAGTTTAACTTATTTAAATACCACATTAGTTGCTGCTGTTATATTGAAATCGTTACTGGTTCTGGAAGCTAAAATTCGTTCAACAATAACAAATCTTCAAATTATAAAACTTCTATTAGCAAAACCAGAAATATAACCCCAACCTAATCTTTCATTTAATTTTAATAACAATCATTTTTTAAAGTTATTGTGTTTACCTCTAACAATTTTGAGCTTGCTTGGTGAGAGTGGTGGTTTGGGCAGGGCATCTTTCTTCTTCTTCGTAGCGACGCCAGTCACGCTGCGGTTCTTCAGGGTTTCCGTGCCCCAGATCATCACCGCCAGGTTTTTGGTGAATTTCGAGTCTCCCTGTGTCCGCTGTAGCTGGTGCCACTTCTCTTCCTCCACCCAAATCCCTCCACCCAAGTGCACCTGCAGGAGACACACTCGTCTTCAAATATGCCTAATATACAAACTATCATAGACAAGATTTTGCTTTGTGTCTGAGACATGGTAGCTTTCCCTTCACTATAAATAAAACAGCTCTGTTTATGGAGGATGAAATGCAACATTCTATGTGTTAATTCAGATTCAAGCTTGTTAACAGCAGTTTGCGTTGGATGTTGTACAGTTGTGCCTACAAGTTTACATAAACCTTGCTGATCATATATATATATATATATATATATATATATATATATATATGAGGGCTGTCCGGAAAGTATCCAGCCATGTAATATGAAAAATAGAGACATTTATCAAAGAAGACACAAGATAACAAGAAACATTGTAAATAGGACAATAACGCCTCAGTCCCCTTCAAAGAAGGCACCTTGGGGCCTCACACAGGTCTCCCAGCATCCCTTCCACTGTTCAAAAAATCTGTGATTATTTTTTAAATATATATAAATATATGTTATATCACAAGGCCTTTATCAAGGTAATACTAAATAAATTTTCACGATCCCTATTATTATTATAAAACAACAACTTTTGACCAATGAATATCCATGACCTTTTATAGATGCTTGCAAGCCAAGTTTTACTACTCAAGAGCAATAATTATCTGATGAAATATTTTAGCACAAAGCATAACTAGAAAATATATAATCATTATAGAAATTACTTTTGACAAATTATCCATGACTGCAGGAACCCTGTCCAGTGAAGGTCCTGGTGTTTTTATGTGTTTTGTGGTATGCAACGATACTAAAACCCTGCCGCATACCCTCTGAGACCTAGGTACCGACAACCACATATGAGAGACGTGTCACACATAAATTCAGTGGCGAGGTGTCTGGGTTCATTAAATGCAGTAATGTGTTTTGACAGATGCCAGACGAGAGTGTTGACTTTTAAGCCACACTGTGGAGGACACAGCACAACAAGCCATCAAGTGGATTGATGGGCAGCTGCTGAGTAACAGCTGAGGTATTGTGCTTTCTGCTTTGTCACCCTGAGCAGTCTTCAGACTCAGATCCAGCAGCTTTTCCCCAATGCAACTAATGTGCTTTAGGCCCTGGTCCAGCAGACAAGCTTTACGCTGCTCTTAACTTAGAGGAGATTTGCTTTTCTACGGCTACCTGTCACTCAGGGCAATTCCTGTGGTACAAATAATTAATGCCGGATATGTGTGCGTATGTGGGCCTAATTTGCTTTTGTTCTTCACGCTTGAACTGAGAACCCTTTCAGCATGTAACACAAATTCCCCCCTGTCATGCAAGGCAGGCGGAGGAACGCAAAACGAGGACCCGATGTCTGCTAAAAGGGCTCAAAATCACAGCAAGTATTCTGGTTAAAAGGCCCTTTGAGACTGATGGGGGGGGGGGATTTCACTAGTCAATTAGACAAACCAAACTACTGCAAAACATTAAAAGAAACACTGAATTGCGCTAACACGAGGAGCATCCGAACCACTGAATTGTCTTGTTTATACAACAAGAGTGGCTGGAATACTGTCTGTTTTGAACTAATGACCAAAGTCAAGTCATGATAGCCGTGAATAATGCCTGTATCGATCAAGTAAATATCAACGATGACCATAACTTTGGAAGGTCTCATCACAATTGACACGCCGTTATCTAATAAATAAATACAAAGAGGTGCAAGTTTATATATACATATAACACCGTTCAAAAGTTTGGGGTCAGTAAGAGGTTGAAAACAGCTGTGCTGCTTATTATAGTGAAAACATGTTAACTTTTTTAACTGACTCTTTAATGAATAGAATGTTTAAAAGAACAGCATGCATTTTAAAGAGACATCTTTTTAAAAAGTCACTTTTGATCAACTTAACGCATCTTTGGTGAATAGAAGTATTAATTTCTTTCAAAAACAACTAAAAACATACTGACTGCAAACTTTTAAAGTGTATGGGCTAGTGTATGTATATTGCTTTCTGCTAAAAAGGCTAGAATAAAGTGAGATTGGGCATCATGACTTTATGGGTTGTTTAAGAATCAGAAAAACTAAAAATTGAAAAGACGGTAAAAACACACACAGGATTACATACTTTTCCATCATTGAAGGTGTAGACGGATCTCGGGGATGGGGAGTGGGTAGAGCTAGTGTTTGCTTCCTCTTGACACACCTCCTGTGGTTCACTGATCGGCTCCACCACCTCTGCTTTGATTGTCTGTGTGCCATTGTCGTGCATCGGCTCTGTATGAAGCAAAGCAAAACACTGCTCACTGTTCAGTGAAGCACAATTTAACAGAAGAAAGATGAGTGTAATCCTAAGAAAGTGTTGACGGCAGACGTTCCCCTCTCTCTAATGACAGTTTTGAAATGTGTCCAGTGTAAATCCTGACCCCCACTCCCTTTGGAGCGCTGCCTGAAACATGGCTCTCCCATGCCTCAAGACAACCGGGTCATTTTAGCTCAGTAAGCTGGCCGCACTAAGCTCTAATGTATCTGTTGAGTTTTAATATCGGTCAATGCACTGCACGTCTGACCCTAAAGAACCCTGGCTTTTCTAATCTTCAGCCTGCTCCACCAGCTCGCTCCAGACCACAGTCTGTTTCGCACCCCCACACAGGCCTGAGCGCTCTGAACACTATGTCCTCTTTCAGCAGCCTTTATTGTAGTCTTCATCTGAGTGGTTTATCAGTCCCTGCAGCTCAGAACAATGTGGAAAATGTAACGATAACATCAAAATCATTAAATTATTAGGGCTGCCAATTTAACATGCTAATTTAGTACAATTAATTATAGAGATGCTAAAAAAAAATAAAAAAAAATTAATTCAATGGCCAAAGACAGTCTAGCATTTTTACATGCACAAAAAATAGTCTTGTAGATTGCAAAATGGATTGCTGTGGACTGCAGGATATACTTATATTTAATAATATGAAATTACAATATAATACAATATATTGACTAAAGTCACTTTTTGTAAAGTCTATTCAACGTTTTCATCCACAATGATATAATGACTACGAATTAATCTACCTTTCTCCAGAGTTAAGTTTTAACTCCCACACCTAATGAGAATCTTTCAGCTTACAAAATACACTAAGGGTAGTCAAGCTAGATAAAAAAATATATATATATTTTCATGAGTAATCTTTTGATCTTTTCAATTTATTGAAAATGAACACCACAGCACTGTGACGTCACATGGATGAATAGACACCTGACTCTCCAAACAGCTTCTCGCAAAGTTTGTAGCTCATAGCCTTTTTTTTAATGTGTGTGTGTGTGTGTGTATATATATATCTCTTTTTTAATGTATTACTATAGATTATAAATAACAAAAAAAATCTACTCCACTTTCCCCACTGTAAACTATGATGGTTCAAACCTGTAATATTAAGTGATGAGGTCAAACTTTAATGCTTAGATTAAATCTGTTTCAACTAACCAAATTTGTAGGGCAGAGTTCACAAAACGTGAATTTTAATACACAAAATCCTACTCATATGCTTACATTCACATGGGTATGAATGGAAGAAAATCATATGACCCCTTTAAATTCCAGAAGGAGTTTCATAATTATTATCAGGGGCGGATCTAGAAAATTATTTTTAGGGTGGCATGAGGACTGTGAAGGGTGGCAACACCAAAGCAAACAATCAATCAATCATCTATACTTAATCTATAGTCAGCGTCCAATCACCAATGGCCCATGTGCATGATTAGCAATCTAACTGAAATGAATCTCATGATGTGGTTTTTACAGTAAAGTCCAACTTGAATCTTCACTGAAAGTTTGATGGTTTGATTAAACAAGTCAGAAAAAAGCCCTATAAACATGTTTACTCTCATTAGCTATGTGATCATAATATATGTGGTGTAAGTATGGACTTATATTCAACATTTTATATTTAGACAAATTGCATGTCATAGGATGTCAAATACAAATGAATGTGAAGATATCATTTGCAGCTCAAAATTTTATCTGAACTATTTATCTCAAGGCTCTTTCATTTTTATAATTTATAATTATGTCTAATAAGGCTGGCATTTTAAATGTTTGCTTTATTATTCGACCACAATGGTAAATAAGTGTCTTATAGAAATGTTTTAAATATATGTTATCTTGAAAAATAGTCTTTTCATTTTTAATGGATAGCAATATATTGAATCATTTCTGGCAACTTGAAAATATGTTTTATTGGGGTCTATTAAAAATTAAATGTTTAATGATATACATTTCACTGTACACTGATTATATGAAACTATACTGTCAGTACACCACACTTATACAAATGAACGAAATCTATGCATTTATTTGCATTCAAAGAGATGGCAACTGATAGAATTTTTTTTTGGGGGGGGATTAAAAGGTTCCTTATCCTGTGCCCCTCTAGTAAGATTCTGGCTCCCTCTAGTGGACAAAATTAAGTATCTTCATCTTTCAGTTGAAATGGCTGTTAGTTTAGAATTTGCATCATAAATGCATTAGAGAGTAAATTCACCTTTGGTGCTTGGACCCGTAAACGACAAAATATCAATATCCAGGGCACCAAGACACTGTCTATTAAACACTGAACACATTCTAATGTCTCTATACGTAAAAAGTTTATTAGGCTATTTGGATGATATACAAATCACAGGTTTAGTGGTTTCTTATTAAGTAGGAATGTCTGTAGGCATAATGAAAGGTCAAACAGAACACGTAAGCAATAGCGACCACCTAAGAAAAGACCTTGTCAATTAGCCAACAGGAAGTTATTTAAAAAATGTCAGTCTAGTTAAGATTAGATTAGATCGGGATAATTTTTTGTCGTCGGATGTCAAATGTAGGCTATCCATGATGATGTGGAGCGAGCCCGGATAAAACAAACGATGAGAAGCGTTGTGGAATATAATATTGTATATAATAATGGAACAACAGTCCATTTGTTTGTGAATTGGGCTACCTGGCTACACTGGTTGTGCTAGTGTTTCTGACTCACCAAAAAGAAGCCGTTCTTAAAGGGGTCATATGATGCTTTTTTAAAGATAATTATTTTGTGTATTTGGTGTAACAGAATATGTTGACATGCTTTAATGTTCAAAAAACACATTATTTTTCAAATCCTGTACATTATTGTAGGTCCTCTCTCTCTGTCTCTCTGGCACTCTCTTGCGCGCGCGCTCTCTCTCTCTCTCGCTCTCTCTCGCACTCTCTCTATCGCGCTCGCTCGCACACACACACACACGATGCGCAAAACTCCGCATTTGAACAGTCAATAGCAAATACTTAAACTAATAACAAAACAGTAGCTGATTCAGAAGCGCCAGATTGTCATAGCAAATTCAGAATTACTTCATCTCCTAGGTTCACGAAACGGTTGTCCATAAAATGCATTGCTATTCTGTTGTAAGTCATCTTAAAGATTCCTAAATGCATCTACTTCTGGAAGGCCAAATAAAGTGCTTTTGCTTTCGCCTAGAAACACACAGCGTCTCCCTGACATGGCTGCTTCAACACTAACTGCGGTTACTGAAACCACGCCTTCTTTCTTTGCTTGCACATTTGGGAGGCATTATGCTAATATTTCCACATAGTGAGGTAGATATGTGGGGGTGTGGCAGAGTCTTAACTTTGATAAAGAATATCTCTTTGGATTTGAGACTTTAGTCTTTGCAAATTTACAGATCTTCTTTATGCACCAAGAGCTTGTAACACTCGAAAGAGAAAGGAAAACTTGAAATCGCATCATATGACCCCTTTAAGAGTAATGAAGTTGACTACAGCGCGAGCAGCTGTGTTTTCTTTCCATTTTTTGCGGTAACTGTTACATCTTTTTTATGTCTTCACATTAAAGCGCAGCTGCTAAAATTCAGTACACTGCTTACATTTATATTTTATCCTGGAATAAATCTGGGGTGGCACATGGGATGGCAATGCTTTTTCTTTGGGTGGCAGCCCTGTGCCACCCCAGTTGGCTTTGTTGTTGTTGTTGTAAAAGTCTGTTAAATTGCTAAAAAGTAATGACTGGTATCAAACAGGTTTCCAATAGTAAGTAACTTTTCAAAAAAAGTTACTTTACAGACAAATTTATAAGATTTAATAACTAGAACTGTGATATAATTGTAAATTTATCAAAGTGTAGTCAGTGGCGTACCGCACATCTCTGAGGCCCCCTGCAAAGAAAGCGACGGGGCCCCTCCCACCAGCAGTGATGCCATGCGACGTATGAAAATTGATTGTGCACCTGCTGCAATATACTACTGAGTCCGTCTCCCCCATTTACATAACTGATTTAACAGTAATGAATGTGGAAAATTATTATTGCATTGATGCATTTGATGTTATATGAGCAATATCACTCGAGTACGAGAGCGATACTGGCTCTGTATCAGCATGGCTGTGATTAGGCCAGAGGCACGAGCCGGTATCGCTCTCGTACTCGAGCAATACCGGCTCTATATCAGCGGCTGTGATTAGGCCAGAGGCAATCACAGCTGCTGATATAGAGCCGGTATTGCTCGAGTACGAGAGCGATACTGGCTCTGTATCAGCATGGCTGTGATTAGGCCAGAGGCAATCACAGCTGCTGATACAGAGCCGGTATTGCTCAAGTACGAGAGTGATATTGCGTTTATACAACAGTTCGACGGAACATGTGTTTAATTAAACAAGAAACAACGGAGTGCCTAATAAAAACCTCTTTTGTGCGGAACTACTTCCTTCCGCCACGGATTCAAAGCTCAAGTTGACAGTTAAACATACGTCACTTTTAGAATTCGTATCAAGGGCATGTGCTGCTTCAGTTAGGTTATTAGTGAGAAATAATGAGGTTATAAGAGAGAAACAATGCGGCAAGACGTGCATCCAAATGAGAGAGAGAGAGAGACTGCGAAGCTAGACGTTTCTTCTTATATTAACTAACGTACTCTACGATTAGCTCAGTGAATAATTAAAAAAACACACAGACCCCGCTAGAACAAGCGGAGTGATACAAAATTGTGAAAGGGCGTTCCTGTATTGAATAACATTACAAATATGCGTAGTGATTTTGATATCGCTTTTTAGTCAGACTGAAATCTCTGCAGGAATAAATATTCAGTCTGACCGTGGAGGCAATAAAAGTGACGCTGCTCCGATTTGATTGTTATTTTAGCAATAGCAGGAGGATCATTCAATAGGCTAATAATACACAAACATCTAGGCCCCAGTCTACTTATTTTATTTAACAATATAGGCTCAATAAAATTGGTGCAAGCTACAGAATAAGTCTTATTTGGCCTATACAAGCATCGCTAATTTATTGTAGAAAATAAATTATGCAAGCAAAATTCACGTCGTGTAGTAAGCAAATTAATGTTTTAAAACAACAAGCGGGGAAAACTAATTTTCCATTAAAAAAAATAAAATAAAAAAGTTAATAAATAAGATAAATAAATACATAAATAAAAACACGTAACGTTGCATAATGGACTACAGCGCTAAGGACCTAATTCAGTAGGGGCTACAGTTTGTTAATACAGATAATAACAGGCAAGAAGAAGATGAGCACAGAATATGAACGCAAAGTTTATAAACGTTTAGTTTATATTAGGTTCATCTGCTTGCCTGCATAGTTTGCATCAGCAAGGTAACTGAATTTGGTCTTTTAAAGTGTTAATGCATAAGCCACGTTAAGCGTAAAGATAATCTAAAAATGTGCTTTATGTGGTAACATCTAAATTAATCTTATTTAAAAAATGTTATTTAAGATTATAAATATATTAGGTTACACCATTAAAACGATAATTTAAGGGTAAGAACAAGTAAATAGCTCTTTAACATAGCCTATACAATTGTTACTACTTTTTTATTTTTTTCCAGTGGGAGATAAATGCTTAACGTAAAACTTTGCACGCTGCGTTCATATTCTGGGCTCTTCAGTAGTTTGATCTTTGATATCACTGTCTTAATGCATAGCTAAACCAGTTCATTGATTTTCCCTGGTTGATGTTTTAGAACATTATTAAGCCACGTTAAGAGTTTTTCACACGCTTTTCCATTCCATTGCACTACCTTCGCGCTCGAGTCTCGCAGCATTTGCAGTTTCTCGAGCATGACACAGCATTCTAAGAATGCGATCAAGTCAAAAGAGTTTTTTTCCCCAAATTTCACTGCCGCATCTTGTGATTTTCAAAGCAAAAGCACGGTCTTTGTGGTTTGTGAATGCCTTTTAGAATGTCCTGTGACGGGGCCCTTCAAAGAGGCGGGGTCCCCATGCACCGCGGGGGCTGCGGGGGTGTCCCGTATACCACTGAGTGTAATGCTTCCAGTTGTGCAATGGTTTAGTTTCTGTTTTCATGCAGACGCAGTGAGGGAAAAATCACTGAGTTTAGGGCAGTCGGTTCGTAGTTCCACTTTAGCTGTGCGATACACCCTCACGCTTCATCAAAATTTCAGACATGTCAGAAATTCATCCAATCATCCGATTGCTGCTCGGGAGAGGCTAATTGCCTCTCGTTACCTCCTGTACAATGCACAGACAAAAGACGCACAGCAAAGCTGAAATTCGGCCCGACTCAAAAAAAGCTTTGCACGAGTCAGAATTCGGCTCAAAATCTGATGAAAATCTCACATTGTATACCCGGCCTTAAAGAGACTTCTAAACAGGTTTGCATTTATATTTTTTGTCAGTAAACGTTCAAAATTGTGTGTAATATCAGATGTTGTGTATGTGCATTTTTGAGCTGTTTAGTCACAGAATACTGATCATATTTAGTAGCATTTTGAACCATGCCATACACTTTAAGTATAATAATAATTTATTTATTATTTTACTGATTTATTTTTGAGAAATTGTTGTTGGATATTGTAATATATATTAAATTACCACTTGCTATTAAAAGCATATTTCAAAACAGATCCAATCCAAGTCTACTCTAAGAAATATGATTCAGTCCAGCAGACCCAAGATGGAAATACTGTGGGATGAATGCACCCATTGTTGTAGCCCTTTGAGTTGCACTGGAGATTCTTCACAGTGTTTAGTATGTGGTCTATTATGTGGAACATCAACATGAGTGTAAGGATCACAAGTCAAGGATGAAAAAGGCCCATGCCTGCCTGCCAGCACACCATGGTTTTCCATCTAGGTATCCAGTACTGCATCTCCGTTAATGCATTTTCAATATCTCTCATATCCCTCTTATACAGCATAAGAAAAATATTTCAGGCAGCCAATCATTACCATAATCGATTCATTCACCCATTACTTTTGTTCTGCACCAATGGTCTCAGCGGAATGCTGTGAGGGAAGAGGTATTCTTCAGGATCACACCCGACTCTATCAGTGTTTCTGCCAGCATGCTGTTTTGCTATCCCTGCCATTCTCTGTTCCTTGTTTCTCTCCATATGACAAAGGCTATCTAACGGAGAAGAAACATTTGGTTATTGTAAAACAGGCAGGTTGTTATACAAAAGGACGGATTTCTTCACTTGTACTTTAATAACGAGAAAGGCACAGTCAATAAATGGCACTAACAATTTGTTCTGCTTCGCCTGCCGTAATTGAAAAGTAAGTGATGCAGAACTTTGGATGCTTTGCCCTTTCTTCTTTTTTCTCTCCATTTATTTCCTTTCATTTTATGTCACTGTTTGAGTCAGATCTGCCATCAAGTCCTGAGCTGAGAGTGCAGAGATGAGGTTTGCTCCAGGGATAAGACATGTGCTTACGGTACCAAAGATGAGAACAGACTGCAGGATACATGAGACCAATAGACAGAATGTACTTTCTGCCCATGTTTTCAGCTAAACACCACATATGCAAAATGACAGTGATTGTATCATGAGCTATATGGACAGTAAAAGGAACATCTCAGTCTCAGTGAATGGACTGAGCTGAAGACCTGTGGGCTGGACTGGGGCCAGTGACGTGTTGCTGGGCAGAGCGGTGTAACTGATGCACTGTGAGTTCAGGACAGAATGTATCAAATGTGAATTTTGCAACTGAATTCCAAACTGTTGTGAGCAACTTTCCAGCAAACAGGTCTGGAATTTTATTTGAAGGATATTTTACCCAAAAATGAAAATTCTGTCATCATTTACTCATTTTCATCTCTTCCAATCTGGGATGACTTTCTTTTTTCTGCAAAATACAAAATAATTCTGAAGAATGTTTCAACAGTTTGTTCATACAATGTAAGCCAATGGACTTTTATTGTAGAAATAAAGATTTTTCCAGAATATCTTATTTGTATTTTACAGAAGACTGGTTTGGAAGGACATGAGAGTAAGGAAATGATGACAGAATTTACATTTTTGGGTGAACTATCCCTTTTACATGAACACTTATGTTATGAGGTTCATTTGAAATAACTTACATTTGAAAAGATACAAAATAACTTTGCCTGTGACCTAGAGTTAAGCACCAAAAAGTTGCATTAAACTAACATTTTCGAAAGTTTTGGAAAGTTTTTAAAGACAGTAAAAGACAGCATTTTCCTTCTTGAGAAAAAAAAAACAGTAAATGGAACTAACATAGACTGTAAGTGAAGAAAATTGTATAGCACCTCTTGAAAACAGACCAGGAGATGTGAGAATTCAGAGGAAAAACTAGAAAGAGAATGAATTATTCCAGTGGAATAATTCATTGGATATTATTCGTTAAATCAGGTGACCATATCTCAAGACTGCATTGACTTTTTTACACCTTCACAGAGAAAAAAATTCTAAAGGTCATGGGTTTGACAAAAAAAAAAAAAAATCACACTACAATGTTTTTATGATGGAAAACACCAGAGCATGAGAGAACATTTGTCAAAATGACTGATAATAATTATTTGTAGTGGCTCACAGTACTTCCCCCATCATTTCCTGTTCCTGTGCATTTCAATAAAAATAATACATAACTAGATGGAAAACTAAAGCTAAATATGTCCTCAAGATTTCCCATACACAGACCAGGCCAAGAGCTGATGGGAGACAATCATGTCATTTTGAATTTTAGCACATAAGCAAAACCTCTCATGCAAAACTCATGAAAACAGATCAAATAACACCGCAGCTTCGCCCGGCGCTCTCTCACACGCAGTTATCAAACAATGAGCACTTGAACTAAGTGTCTGTTCCCCCTCCACCTCTAAACACACACTTAGACTGGTGATGGCGCCTCATAAACTGTTTGGCAGTGTCGACATTATCAGCAGCTCAGAGTCAGACATCATGTCCCTCCAATTAGAGCTTCACAGCTCCCCTCATTCATCTTTATTGGTGATACATTAGCCACCATTAAATAAAAGACATGGGATAATCTCCATAATGATGTGGATGATGAAGCCGAGTGTTGGAGAGGGAGGTAGGAGCTCTGTGACTAGAATAGGAAAGAGGGTGGGTGTCGGGCGAGATGATGGCGGTGGGCATGTTTTGGGTCGGTGCCCGGGAGAGAATGAGGATGGTGATGAAGGTGGGGAGGGATGGACATGAGGAGCTGTGACAGCAGCATTAGCCAGGAACACATTAGCCATTACCACGCAGCCAATCAAAACAGCGCACCTGTGCCAATCGGGGAGATGGACAGACGCTTGTCCAGGTGCGTGTGTGTACATGAGCATCGGCACTGACTGGCTAAGTATAGAACCAGACGGCAAGCTCCAAACCTGCCGTTTTTGCCAGAATCTGTGAAGCACAAAGGCGGACAGCAGGGATCATTTAGAGAACATTAGAAATACGGTTTAAAATAAAGGCTCCCGCATGGTTGGGGAAAAAGACGCCATGTTTCGAGTACGGAAAAAGTTGGCAGCATCGTCTTCTATTGACCAGTGACTTACAAGGCAATGATCTCTTCTTGTTTAACTGAACTGCCCTTAATTACGTTACTTTATTTTGTCCTTTAATTAGTGCCTCGTGAATAATTGATTAGCTGTGAAGTCATCAGTCGGGCAATAAAAAAAGTGATAGTGCGTGAAATGAACATTAGCCCCGAAACGGAGCTCTGCACGGCACTGCCCTGAGACAGACTTCAAAACTGACAGCCCGAGCAGATGCAACTATATTGTATAACCGTTCCTCAATCCCTTCATCAAATATTTACAGGGGTATCATTGCCAGCACAGTGTCCTGCTGCGCATTCTCCGAGTGGCGGCAGGGG